GAATCTGTTTGTTTTCTTGGCAGACCATGATAGTAACTATCCATGACAGTAACTATTTATTGGACACATTGAATTTCGTATTCCCATAGCACCTCATGCTTTGTTATCCAGAAGTGATTGAAAGACTGAATTCATTCAATCATGCCCACTGCAGCCAAGGAAAAACTTGATGGGGGAAAGGCAACCAGATGTTGCCACTGCCAACTGGCAGTGGTGGGCAGCTCGCCTCATTTTGGCTAATTGTGGCCATGCTTGGATATCACTTGTGCTTGCATGCTCTCGGAGATGCCTTGTAGTAACCCTCGGGAAGAGGTCTCTCTCTATCTGCATTTTCCAAATGAGAATGCTGAGTCCCGAATAGGTTAAGGCCCTTGCATGGCATCAGCAATAGCATCAAGATGTGAACCTGATCAGGTGATGCCAGAGCCCGAGGCAGCTTTTTCCGGGATTTGTAGGCACAGATTGCAAACCGATGGCCTGGCTAGCACATTGGCTTGTTTATACCACACAGTGGTTCTTAGAAATGCTGAAGAGAATGCCAACATTTGAAAACTGGGATGCTTTGCATTTTACAAATCAGAAATCCCAGTGAAATCTGGAGAAATCAGAACAGATCTTCCTGAGCCGAGGCTGCCTCTCCAAATGCGCAGCGTGTACACACCGACCCCCACCATCACCACCACACCAAGTGGGTTACACCTGCCTGTGCCCCCCCAGACCCCTTCCTACTTGTTCCTGTGCATATGGCATTAGCCCTTTCCTCTACCCATTCATTTACCCAGCCTTTGCTGCACACCTATTGCGTGCCAGACACTATTCTAGGCGCTGAGAACTCAGAAGCAAACAAACCAGCAAATATCTCTACTTTCATGAATCTTACACCCTTTTAAGGAGAATGAGGAAATAATAGGTACAAAGTATAGAAAGCCAGAGAGGACATGTTGAGGTATATGTCTTGTTTTCTAACTTTTTCTTTCATGAGGCAGAGGTTAAGCGTTTGGCTGCTTGACGGGTCAGTGTTTTGAACTCAACCAAACACTGTGTGGGAGAAAGATGAGGCTGTCTGCTTCTGTAAAGGTTCTCTCGCTCACTGCAATGGAGGCAGAACTGACTCATAGCTGCCCCTTCATTAGGCTTCCAAGGCTGTAAATCACACAGGAGAGTGCTCATCTTATTCCTACGGAGCCGTTGGTGGATTTGAAGCACTCTAAGTTACACTTTTCAGTTAGTAGCAGAACTTCCTGGGAAAAAACCTGTTATACAGCGGTCACAGCCTTGGAAATCCCACGGGTTGACTCTTCTCTGTCCACCAGGATTGATGTTTTTGACAAGGTCTTGAAATAGCCCAATGGGTTCTCTATACACTACACTTAAATTTGCCACACTGGGGGTTGCACCTCTCAGGTGGTTCAAATCCACAGTATCTCGGTGGGAGACAGATGACCAACCCAGTTAAGGGTTAGCTGTGTGCCTGTTCCAACAAAACAGGAATGAGGTTTTCCCAGTTTGTTTAATATTTGCTTGGTCTCTTAATATACGCACATTGAGACCTTTTTACCGGATTTGTTTGCAAATAAGTTGTAGACTTCATGACCCATCACCGCTAAACATATTAGCATTTATCTCCTGGAAACAAAGACCATGTCTACAGTATCTTATCATACTGCCTGCTACAGTGGCAGTGCAGTGGTGGAACTCTCCCCTTCCCATGTGGAACACCTGGGTTTGATTCCCAGCTTCTGGACAAAGACAGTCCCTGCAATCTACTTCTAAGCATCAGCCAGTGAAAAATCCACACCTGCCTGTGGGAATGGCCCAGAAATGGGCAGTGTTTTGCCCCACTGCATTTGGAATGGCCACAAGATAGGGGCTGACTCTACACCAGCTAACAATGACAACATGTATCATGGAGTTCAGTCCTGGGCTTAGAGACTTACAAGCAGGTTTTTCACTAAATGAAGATCCTGCAGGACCAGTATAAGACCTTCAGGACTTGGGACAGTTCTTGATGGACCTTTCTTCAAGGGCCTGATTCTGTAGTTGTGGAATGTACACATCCATGACCTTGACCACTGAATACCCACATCTGCCTCCAATCGTGTGACAACCAGAACCACTTCCACAAATTCCCCAGATATTTCTGTGTCTGTATAAGGAGGATGATGTTGTTGTTGTTGTTGTTGTTGTTGTTGTTGTTGTTGTTGTTGTTAAGTACCTTCAGGTTGGAACCAACTCATTGCTGACTCTCTTAGGCAGTATATTGCATTGGCGTTGATTGCCCATCTTTTTCCCACAGAATGGCTGGTGGATTTGAACTGTGTACCTTTGGGTTGGTAGCACAACTCCTTACCACTAAGATACCATAACTCCCTTAAGGATGAAGAAAAGCAATTGTAGGTGTGGTGTGTGGGAAGGACTGAGCAGAAAGCCGTTTGTAGAAATACTCTTCTCAATGTTGGTTTTTGTGTCTCTGCACTAGAATCTTTATTTTTTCTAATTATTACTTTGTGTGTGTGTGTGTGTGTGTGTGTGTGTGT